AGGATCGATGAAAAAGTAAGGGAAGGTAGTTAAATATTTAGAATCCATAGAACAATTGGGATGTTTCAGTGCCGTCAATCTCCATCGTCTTAAACACGTATGGCTCGAATTGATTCGGCAGAGGATTTGATACCAATCTCTTACGAGGAGCACCACCAACCACCGGTTCCTCTTCCTTATACCGATCGATCACCAGATCTTTGTCGTAAACAAATGCAATCAGCTCGTCCGATTCCTTGAAATCACTGTGCTTTTGACCGCTAAAGACCAGATACCCATTCGCATATCCAGCATCTCCAGCTGGAATGTGCACGCCACATCCTTCTTCGAACATATTATCCTTATCAAAGAAAATAATGCGACTTGCACGCATTTCACTGTCCATCGACTTGCCAACCTTGCCAAGTCCAGGAATAGTGTCGGGAATCTCCAAGCTGTCGTATCCATTCCAGTCGTAGCGATTCACGAATACAATGTTTGGATTACTGAAGCGTGTGGACCAGCCAATCTTGGTGACTTGATCGAGAATATTGTCCGGATCGACATCCGAGTGGTGCATCATGTATCCCAGAATTGCATCCTCGCACGTCTTCAACTCCACAATCACTCTACGCACGTTCCAAACACCGTTGCGAGCAGCGCACTTGTAGTTGAAATCGTGCTGGAGAATTGTGCCGTGGTTGTCCGGAGTCAGAGTTGGCTTGCCGCTGGTCTCGTGCTTTTCAGAGTGATAGCCGTGACAGACGGTCTGGAGTTGCCCATAAACAATCTCGCCAGACTTGATGGTGAACGACTTTGTGAGTATCTCTGGCAGCATCACGCCAGAATCGGTAGAGTCAATCATAGTTGAAGTGTGTGATTGCAAAAGTTGTTTGTTGTTGTTTGTTGCGAGAGTGAGTAGGTGAGTGAAGTTGGAAAGGCTGCATTCTGTCGAAAGTCTAATATAGGACTGCAATCAAGATCTGGCGGAGTTCCTGCTGCGGATCAATCTGTCGGAATACGAAAGAAAAGAACACTGGATGAAAGAGATATTCAAAAAAATGAATGCCTCCGCACGGAATTGAACCATGGACCTCGGCATTACGAGTGCCGCGCTCTGCCAGCTGAGCTACAAAGGCTTTCTTCAGAATTTTTCATTAAAGTATCTCAGCAATGATCTTTCGTTCCAACTCGCCTCATTTCAGATTCTAATCTTATTATATTTGGTTGATGATCATTACTTGATGTGCAAAAGCATATTTAAACCGCCGTTTATTGTTACTTAAACTTTCTAATTCCGTCTATAATAGCAAGAATCAATGCCGCGGCGCCACCAACGGCCACTCCAATTTCAAAACTCACGGCTGTCACTGTCACAAATGTCAGAGTAAACAACCCGAAATCCCTCCACTTCTCCTCCTTGTACAGTGTCTTCATCCGACTCAGTTGGCCAAAGAGTCCCATGCATGCAAAGATTGTCACAGATGCCAACACCGTTCGTGGCACGTAGTAGAACATTCTTGTAAACCAGAGCAGCGTGACAATAACCACCGCTGCACCAATTAAGTTTGCGAGATGAGAGCGAGCGCCAGCCGCGCTTAGCACAGCCGAGCGGCCAAGGGCACCGGTGCTGACGTACGATGAAAACATGGAGCCAACCAGGCTGGATGTGCCAAGTGCAACCATTTCTTGGGTTTCATCGACTGGAACATCGTAGGCGTGCTTGATTTCAAATGTGCGCGCTGTTGTGATGGAAACGACGTAGCCGATAATGGAAATAAGCAAAGCAGAGGGGAGAATGAGACGGACATCATCGCCATCCAATGGGAACATGCCGGGTGGCAGCTGAGCGCGGGGGAAACCAGGTGGGATGTGGCCAAGTACAGCGACGTTGAATCGCTCGTTCAGTCTGAAGGCAAATGTGAGCGTGGAGAGTGCGATGATAGTCAGTAGAATAACTGGAATGGGAACCCAGTCTATCCAGTTTGTTCTAAACTCGTCGTCATCGTTGCCTTTTGGCGGCCGATGTTGAACTGGTTCTTCAAGCTGATGCGGTCCAGCTGATGAAGTTGTTGAGATTGTATCGTGTGTCAGTTGCTCGTCTGTATCCACATTACTATTGCTGTTGCTAGTAGCGTCGCTGCTATTGTTGTTGAACTCAGCTGGAGTTTCCTGCTGGATTAGCGCCACAAGTGAGGGCAATCGAGCTCTTACTTGCCGCCGAGGTGGAGCAACAATCTGCACTCGCGTTCTCATTCGTGCTGATGTTCGCATATCATCGATTGTTCTGCCTTGTCGCATCGGTAGTGACATTGGTGGAGTGGATCGTTCTCTTGTGCTTTGAGCAGGCTGGATTGCCTTGGAGTTGAGTCTGAATCGAACTTGCTTTGGTGTATCGTTAATCTCAATTAGAGGTTGTTGCTGTTGCTGCTGCCGTTGTTGATGTCCATCGGTAACGGTTGTTGTACCTTCAACTGCATCAAAACGGTGCATTTCTGTATCTACTGGCGTGTACTCGTTTGTTTGCTGCATTCTACGTTGTCTCCGCTTGATTGCTCTTTGGTCCTCTATTCTCTTCAGCCAAAACATTGCCACAATACCCACAAACCCAACCACAACAGTTGTAAAGTTAATTTTATGCCAATGCGACATCACATAGAACCACTGTTTTGGCAGTGCAAATAATGCTGAGCCTGTTGTTGTTGCTGCTGCTGCTGCTGAGCCAGTTATAGTACTATTCGCTCCATGCAAGTTATGCAGTCGTTTCATTGCCTCCGTTGATTGTTGAATCGGAGGCTTTGGAGCGGTTGAGGCTGCGCCAGGTCGAGGTATATCCATTCCCACAAAGTTACCAAGCTGGGATGTCAAGATGTGGAATGCAGATGCAGTAGTAAACCCACTCACAAGTGCATCTGGCAGCAAATACTTTGCAATCAGTCGAGCAATACCCGTTGATGCTAATATTAGTTGTATCAACCCAACCCAGAATGTAATCTGCAGACACATGGCAACAATGTCTTCCTGGTCAATCGCGTCACCATCGTCACCGATAACGTTTGAATACACATCTCCACCGTCTGCCTGTAGGGGTAGCATTGACTTCTTTGGATCTGCAGCTGCAGCAGCAAGAGCGTCAGCTGCGGCGTCTTGTCTCATCTGTGTAATCAATATCGACTGTGCAGCCTGACCGAGCATGATACTTGTCACAGCAAATGTGCCGGTAGACATGTGTGGACATGTACCCAATATCGCATACAGCAGCGTTGGTACGACGGACGAATACAACCCGTATACTGGTGGCAGACCAGCCAGCAGAGCCGAGGCCATGCTCTGCGGCATAACAAATGTCGATATTGTCAGACCAGCAACCAGATCTCGCACAAAGTCACGTCGAAGTTGCAAACGTGGTATCCACGTCAGCACGGGGAGTCGGCGCCGCACAAAGTCACCAACAGCCGCTCCACTACAGTTGCTTCTCCAGGTTGAAGATGCCATCTTCGGGTTGTTTGCGAGATTTTGTTATGCGAGAGTGAAAAAAGGAGAGTTGGGGAGTAACGAGCAAGCACACCAATGGCTCTCACTTGCGGACTCATACAAGTGAATGGAACCATCAAGCCTCACCACTCCGTCCACTCCCCAGGCATCTCGATTCTAACACATTTCTGGGTCACCGTGTCAAGATGACGCCATCAATTTTTAGCTAGGCGATTCAAATATGAGATGATACCATTCACGATAAAGACGACGACGAGACGCATTTAAAAGAGAGAGAGTAAGTGAGAGTAAGAGTGAGAATAAGAGTGATTGAGTGAGTGATTGAGTGAGTGATTGAGTGAGTGGAAAAATAGGGAGAAAAGTGAAATGGTTAGAATTGGTTAGAAATGGTTAGAACAGCTAGAATGGTTCAATGAGAGTTAATAAGTAGGCAATAAGAGGGACATGATGAATAAAGATGAAGAGGCTCGAAAGTGGGACTATAAAAAGGATAATTACGCAAAAGATCTACCATTGGCAGCGGAGGCCATGCCAGGCTGGAACGAAGACATTGTAGATGGAGGAGACATTGCTGCAGCAACAGCGCCACCTGGACCAGCAGCACCATTGCCATTCATAGGACCTTG